ATTGCTGTTGTCGTTGTTGTTGTTGTTGTTGTTGTTGTCGTTGTTGTTGGTGTTGTTGTTATTGGTGGTGGTGGTGGTGGTGGAGGTGTTGATGGTGGTCGTGGTGCTGTTACTGTTACTGTTACTGTTACTGTTACTGTTGTTGTTGCTGTTGATGTTGGTGTGTTGGTGTTGGTGTTGTTGGTGTTGATGTCGGTGTTGGTGTTAATGTTCATGATGTTGTTGTTGTTGTTGTTTTATTATTGTTGTTGTTCTTGTTGGTGGTGTTGTTGGTGGTGGTGGTGATGTTGCTAGTGGTGCTAGTAGCGTTAGTGGTCTTAGTGGTCTTAGTGGTCTTAGTTGTGTTAGTTGTGTTGGAGTTTTGGTGTTGTTGGTGTTGTTGGTGTTGGTGTTGTTGGTGGTGTTGGTGTTGGTGTTGGTGTTGGTGTTAGTATTGGTATTGGTGTTGGTGTTGGTGTTGGTGTTGGTGTTGTTGGTGCTGTTACTGTTACTGTTACTCTTACTGTTGCTGTTGGTGTGTTGTTGTGTTGGTGTGTTGGTGTTGGTGTTGTTGCTGTTGTTGTCGTCGTTGTTGTGGTTGTTGTGAGTTTCTCTCCAAGAGATAAGGCAGATCATCAGGGAAATCCTATTAATGTGGTAAACCCAATGCTGTACACCATCCCCAAGTCATCCCCATTTTCATTTATGGCTGGGATTTAAACCGTTTGGGAAGCAGAGAGCAATATGAAATCATACAAGATGAATGAAAACGTTGGATCAAAGAGTTTCATGCCACCTTGAGAACAACCATCAAGTGTCAGAGAACAAAAGTTGTCTGCTTTGGAGAGATATCTAATTTTTCACTGCTCTCGTAACGCTGGACATGCAGTCGCAAAACTCCCAAGATGCTCTAGATGCCAATTGATACTTCCTCACCTTCGCCCGCTACGCTTCCACACTCCCCATAAGCACAACTTTCCGAACAACTTGAGGACCCCCAGCTACTAGTTGGTTTACTTTCACTCATCCCAAAGTAGATATATCCACCATAGACCCAACACTTAACCAAGTTACTTCCCTTGGGACTGGGGGCTCCCCACCTACCTTTGTTCAGCCGAAAGACACCGTTCCGGCGTCACCAGATACGCTGCAGCAAATCTCCTGGAACAGACGGACCTGAACCTGGTGGAGCTAGGTGCGGAGGGGATGAGGATCTCACAGCGGAGCATAATTCATGTTAATTAGTACCACATTAATACCATTGTTAATTAGTAAAATTAAAATTAATATTAATTAGTAGCATAACTCATGTTATATAATTAGTATAATTCATATCAATTAGTAGCAAAACTCATGTTATATAAGTAGTATAATTCATATTTATGATAATGTTCAATATTAGTTCATCATCGATGATGGACTTTCCGGGGCAAGCCAAGGAAAGTTACGACGTTTGCCCAACTAGTTCAAGGGGATCTTAGATCTGAGCCACCAAAAAAACCGCTGGGTTCAGCCCTAAAAATGATGTTACGGTGAACAGATCCATATTCAGCAGTGACCTGGTTGCTGCCTCTGAGATTGGTTGGCCACGTCAGTATGGTGGGTGACATGGTGACATTGCTCCTTTTGCTGGTGATTGGTTGATATCAGTCACGTAAAGAAAACAACTTCCTTTGGATGATCCATCTTTCGGAAAAAAAAAACTCACAGATTTTCCACAAGAAAGAATATCAAATAGCCTCAGATGTTGCTAGGTTTCGAAGCTTTGCTCCCAGCTGGAATTTCCACCGCAGGCTTTACCTTCATACTTATCCACATTTCATATATTGGTACATATATTTCGTATATATTTCGTATATTTCATGGTAAAAACCCAGGGTGAAAACACCAGGCTACAAGGCTCCTACGGACGCGCGGCTGGCCTTGGAGCCCAAGATGGAAGAAGTGAAGGCCAGCGGACCATAGTGGACACCATGTGAATCCCATCATCCCAAATGGTTTTTAAACTGTTTTAATATGGTTTTAATATGGTTTTAATTGCGTTCTAATGGTGTTTATGAATGTTTATGATGTTTCAATCTCTATTAATAATATGTAATATTAGTAATATGTATCAATGCTTAATCGTATAATTATAGTGGTTAATGGTTGGAGACTTGATAATCCCATCCCATGTTTTACTCCTATTGTTGATGATTGATTCATCCATATTATCCCAAATCAATAATCCCTACTGTCGATGCTCAAATCCTATCAATCCCATCTGCCGTTCATATGAAACACCCCCACAAGGATGGGTGAAACCCTCTAAATAATGGCATGTTTACCACCTATCAACTGGTGCAGGATTTCGCTACCATCCACAGTATGAACATTCGCAGTCTGGAGCCGGGTACCATGTCAGAGCCAGGTTTGCTTAGCCGAAGCCGAAGAGCAGGACTATTTCAAATTGATGGACGCCGTGGATGTGAACCTGGCTCACGTTGCCCGAAAACATCCAGATTTACCCTCCGGTTGTCAGACGTTCAAGGGGAAACCCCCTATTAATGCCACGTTTGATTGCTGGAGTGTAGCTGGATTTGTTGGTGGATTTTTGGCCCAACTATATTCTATGACCTGAAGTTCTTTCTTCTACCTTAAATGGATGTAGTGGGTACTTGGGTTAAGTTGATCGTGCTTACGGAAGTCGATCGGAAACGGTGTCCCTTATGGGATTTGGGTACAAATGGGATGTATGCAGACATGCAAGCTGTTTTTTTGGCAGTGTTTTGCATGATTTTTGCTAACTTGTATGCATGTCATAGCACACACAAAATGTGATTGATATGTTGTGCTTGTGGTTGCAAAATTTTGGCTTAGATGCCGGAAAGGAAATCTGTGTTGCGGCGCCTGCAGATCTTTTGCTTGCTTGCTTGCTTGCTTGCCTGCCTGCCTGCCTGCCTGCTTGCTTGCTTGCTTGTGTAGAGCTGCTGCTGCTTAGTGCTGCTTAGTGCTGCTTAGTGCTGCTTAGTGCTGCTGTTGCTGCATAGTGCTGCTGCTACTTAGTGCTGCTGCTACTTAGTGCTGCTGCTGCCGCTTCGTGCTGCTGCCGCTTAGTGCTGCTGCTGCTACTTAGTGCTGCTGCTACTTAGTGCTGCTGCTGCCGCTTCGTGCTGCTGCTGCTGCTTGGTGCTGCTGCTGCTGCTTGGTGCTGCTGCTGCTTGGTGCTGCTGCTGCTGCTGGTGCTGCTGCTGCTGGGGGCTGGGGTTGCGGGAGCTCGCGTTGGGCTCGCGCGGGGTCGCGCAGGGCTCGCGCAGTGCTACGTTCAGATTCTGCCTAAAATTGTAAATGGTTTGTACATGGTTGGTTTCCTGTATGGTTCCTTATGAAGTTTTCCGTATTCTGTCCAACAAACATATTGTGCATGGTTGTCTTTACACATGGTAGCCTGATGGCATTCCCTGTTGAGACACATTGTGGGGGCTGACCATTTCACAGGTGTCCCATGGTGATTTCAATGATGTTTGTGAATGGCGGTGTCTGGTGGTGACGTTGCTTTTTGCCCACTACACAGAAGACATCTTCTAAACCGGTGTCCCATGGTGCTGTTCAAAAAAAAACAAAACAACCAAGAAACTGCTTCCCATCCTGGTGTCCGCAACTTGACTGCCGTTCGAAACGGTGTCCCCTTGCGGGTGTTTGACTTTACGCGAGCATGTTTGACTTAACCCGAGCACCAAGTAGTAGCCGAAGTCAGTTTAGAAGTCAAACTTCCGACAATATGGACAGATGAAAAGCAGAGATGGGAAGAGTCAGAGAGAAGAGAAGAGTAGAAGAGAGAAGATCAGAGAAGAGAAAGAATCAGAAGCGCGAAAAGGTAGGAAAGTCGCGAAACACTGTGTTTTTCCAATGATTTGTGGCTCCGGAGGGTCGAAAAGTAGGCTCGCTAAAGCGGGTGCGGAGCCAGCTGGCCAGATGAGAGATGGAAAATTGCACGCCGTTGTGGCGCGAAGCACATGTCGAACTCAAAATGTACAAAACACCTCAGCTTCGGAGCACTTTTGGAAGTTGAGATGTCGAAAAAGTGCACGCCGTTGCGGCGGGAAGCACATTTCGAACTCGAAATGTACAAAACATCGCGCCACTTTTGGACGTTGAGATGTCGAAGCCGTTCTGGCGCGAAGCACATTTCGAAGTCAAAATGTGAAAAACACCAGGGGTTCGGACCACTTTTGGACGCTCAGATGTCGTTTCGCGTGGCAGGCGCAAGGGATTGTGGACCTTGTCAAAAGTGAGCAAAATGTGAGGGTTTGTAGCATTTTCAACTACAACCACCACTACACCACACTACACTCCAATACACTACACTACAACTACAACTACACACTACACTCCACTACACTACACTACACTCAATTACACTCAATTACACTACACCACAGTACACTACATTACCTTACACTACACTAATGACATCTCACTAAGATTACATTACAATACACTACACTACACTACATTACACTACATCACACTAACTACAACTACAACTACATAAGACTACACTACACTACACTAATTACATTACACTACACTGCACTACACTACACTACACCCCATTCCACTACACTACACTACACCTCATTACACTACACCCCACTACACTACAGTACATTACACACAATTACACCACACTACATTACACCAAGCGACACTACACTACACTACACTACGCTACGCTACGCTACACTACACAAACTACAACTACACCTACAACTACAACATACTACAACTACAACTACAATACAATACATACACTACACTACACCACAGCCACAACCACAACCACAACTACAATTGACAATACATTACATAACGCTACACAACACCACAGCTACAACCACAACCACAACCACAACTACAACTACAACTACACTACACTAATTGCATTACACCACACTACACTACACTACGCTACACTACACTACACTACACCACACCATACTACACTACACTTCACTACACTACACTTCACTACACTTCACTACACTACACACTACACACTACACACCACACACCACACACCACACACCACACACCACACACCACACACCACACACCACACACCACACACCACACACTGCACACTGCACACTGCACACTGCACACTGCACACTGCACACTGCACACTGCACACTGCACACTGCACACTGCACACTGCACACTGGACACTGGACACTGCACACTGCACACTGCACACTACACTACACTACACTACACTACACACTGCACACTGCACACTACACTGCACTACACTACACTGCACTACACTACACTACACACTACACACTACACACTACACACTACACACTACACACTACACACTACACACTACACACTACACACTACACACTACACTACACTACACACTACACTACACTACACACTACACTACACACTACACTACACTACACACTACACTACACTACAATACACACTACACACTACACACTACACACTACACACTACACACTACACACTACACACTACACACTATACACTATACACTATACACTATACACTATACACTACACTACCCCACATTACATTACATTACTTTACATTAGATAAAATTACGCTACACTCATTACACCGCCACAAAGACAACTGCAACTACACTATACTAATTACACTTCACCACAACTACAACTCCACTACACTACAACTACAACTACAGCTGCGCTGCACCACACTACATCCAGCAGCTGTGGGTGAGGTGACCGACCAGGTGACTACTGCAACCATTGCAGCCACTCCAAAAAAACACAGCTCCAACCACCTTTCGGTCCATCAGTGGATTCGCCCTGCCATCCGTGATTCACAACAACCAACCTCTCCTATAGGTTTCCTATTTCTGAAACTTCCGCCACCGCCTTGTGCGGTACTACTGGTATGATGTAGTCCCAGCATGCATCACGAAAACACCGTTCGTTGTTTGAAGACACTGGGGAATGGGGTAACATCCTCACATTTGCTGTCATGTGCCATGAGGTTAGCTATTTGGCTGGAAGAAGTCACTGATACCAGAACTGTTTGCTTTCGGGATTTTAACCCTATAGGGCGACCAACTCCCTGATCAACCCGGTTTTGGCGAAGATGTCATGGAGATTAGGTTCGTTTGGCTCAAGTCATTGATTTCAACAAAAGCTGTCCCAGTTTGGAGCAACATGTGGTACACCTTTCAAGTTGAAGAGAACCCAACACTTGTTCTACCAGAGGTGATGGGAAGTGTATATATAATCGCCACCCTTTTCGTGGGGTGTAAGCATGGGGGACGTTCGCAAAATGCAAGCAACAATTTTGAGCCCTTCGTATTTTTTCCCGATGGGGAAGGCTATATGTATATAAACCCCTCCTACGTCAAAAACCGTGCCCCGGAAGATTTTTACATTTGGGGAAGTTGAAAGTCCGCAAGAGATATGTCACCCCGTACCCCCCTCCGAACCCCCCTCCCCGTACTCTACGGATAGGGGGGGCGGGGGGAGGTAAAAATTGTTAAATGTCAGCAGGCAGTTTGTAAACTGTTTGTGAGGTGTCTTTGTGGGGATGTAATCAACCTATGTCTGAGGTCCATAGTTCCTTGCAGAAAGTGTTCGAAAAAGAAAGTAAAACTAAGATAGAAAATGTAACCATCCTACACCTGAGGCCTATAATTCCTTGCAGAACGTGCTCAAAAAAGAAGGTGGAGATAAGATAGAATCATGTAACCATTCTACACCTGAGGTGTTTAATTCCTTGCAGAAATTGCTTAAAAAGAAGGTAAAAATGAGATAGACAAATGTAACCATACTACACCTGAGGCATCCTGAGGCCTATAATTCCTGGCAGAAAGTGCTTAAAAAAGAAAGTAAATATAAGATTTAAAAAACACCATCCTATACATAAGGTCCATAGTTCCTTGCAGAAAGTGTTTGAAAAAGAAGGTAAAGCCAAGATTGAAAAATGTAACCATCCTACACCTCAGGTTCCACAGTTCCTTTCAGAATCAACATGACACATGTGTAGATTGTCATTGTATTATGGTTGGAGGGTCATAAGGGTGGGCTAGATAGGAACCGTGGCAGAAGGGTGTTTAAGTTCGATCATGTGGGTACATAAAGGGGGTTTACCATGGGGACCCCATAAAGGTTCATTTGAGGTCCATTTGAGGTCCATTTGAGATCTTTATTCGTATTCTATTGTTTTTCCATAGGTAGGATGTAAATTTGAAGACCTTCAACATCTAATTTTACATTTATTTATTATTTGAAGTTCAAGGATTGTCCAATAATTTGCAAGGAATAATATACCTTGTATACCTCTATGTTACATGTGGACATGGAAAAAAAGGTGCAGAAAAAGTGTGGAATGTATTGGAAATACCAAGCAATTGGGGTCCTACAAACTTTCAGTTTGCATTTTTGATTTTCTGCAATTCTGCAGCTATTCGCAGACCTTCACACTACAATTTTACATGTGTTTTCATTTTCTTGTTTTTTTCAAAAATGCAATCGGACATTTTGAACGCTCCCCTGCGTTTTTTTAAGAAAGTAAATGAAATCCCGTAAAGAGTGAGGGGACCTACTAAAATGAAATCTTGCAAATAGAACGCAGTTAGAAAAATGCATGTTTGCTGACATTTACCAGGCCCCCCTCCCTCAAAAACGTCTAAATTGTGTGTTGCAATTTGGGTACGTCCCCCCCCTTAAAAGGGTAGTGATTATATATATATATATATATATCTATATATATATATATGGTTCACGTTATTTTGATTTACCCTCTGGTAGTTTCACATAACTATGGAACGCAATGGAAAATCACTATGTTGAAACGGAAAACGACCTACTGTATAAATAAGTTAAATGGGCCATCAATACCATAGCTATGTTAGCGGAGGTAGTTTAATGCGTCCTTGGACCAGAGGTTGTTGCTTCGACTGTATTCAAGTAGCTGGATCCGATTTTCTTTTGTCGGAGACTTTCGTGACCGTTGCTTTGGTCAATAGATTGGTTTACGGGAACAAAAACGAGCAACCATTGTTTCAGCATGTTTTTAACGATAACAAAGTAGAGGGGGTTCCTGTAAATTTTCCCACCAGTCCATTGATTTGGAGAGATCTTGTCGCATGCTCTGATTTTTTGGCCAGTCCTTACGCTTTGAGCTGATGAAATTGGGTTTGCGAGTCTATGGTAAGCAGGCCATGGGGGAGGGGGTTGGCCATGACCGAAGTACGGAGGTGTTTGAAAAAATGTGGAAATGGGATGAAATGATATGAAATGGGCATCTCTGAAAATGGGTTGTGTACCCTCGAAATGGCAATTTTCAGAGGGAAAATAATCAGTTGATGGGAATGTCTGTTGTTGCGGGCCGTGAAGTTGAAGAATCAGATCTTCCGGAGCTGTGAATGCTCTCGCAGAATTGGATGGAAAAAATTGCAGGGTTTACGTCTCCATTTAGTAAAAACCATCCAGCAAATCGGATTGAAATAAAGCATCCAGCAAAAAAAACCATGGACATGTCATGAAATGTCACATGTCCATTCCATGCAGAATGGGATGTACAAACCTTGATTTCCTATGATTATTTCCTTGAGATTTTCCCTTGAATCCAGTGAGTCTCAACTATAGCGCCCCAGGTGGCACCAGATGGTGCTCCCGGACCCGCAAAGCCACGGCGGGAAGGAGGCGTCACAGGTGGTGGCTACATCTTGAAGGACCTGGGGATAGGCTTTCGAAAACAAATTGGTGTGCTGGGTATGTTTATTTGCAATTTATTTGCTAGATTATTGGGGTGAGATGTGAGTGGCTTTTCGATCTGACCTGTGGGTCCTTTATGATCTTCAGTATCCATCCATATATATATATAATTATATATATATATATAATTATATATATATATACACGTAGTTGTTCTTTGCCCGTAGTTTAGTGTTACAGAATGGGCAAACGATTACGCACCTTCATTTCTGACATCCCCTCTTTTTTTTCCTCGAAAGCTGATGAGTTCGGTTAGTGAGCCTGAATTTGGGTAGGTGAACATGTGCCTGTCAAGTCGCTGCAGGAAGATAGCGAACCCTACGATGATTCGTACCAGAAACAACAGGAAGAGAAGTGGAAGAACCTCCGCAAAAAGGCGGAGAAGATGTATGGTCGCAACTAGCGGCACCAAAGCCTAATAAAATGGCAGGTTACCCTCTGGTGTCATGAAGCATGGCTGGCAAATCCCCCAAAAAATGTGCATTGAAATTATATAATTGTATGAAATTACCATTATCTGGGAAAACCATAAGGTATGATGATTATAATGTCAACCCCGGATTAATAAACCATGGTGTATTAATTAGGGGGGTACTCCCAAATAGTCATAATCTGATACTTAAATGGTATCCCCCCAATTAAACAACCTAGGGGGTTATTAATCCAGGGTTGACATTATGTGGGATTCTCCATTGCCATGTTTGATGACCAAGGGGAATCGCTGCAACTGTGGTGCCATCCCTTCACGTCCAAAATGACTCGCAGCAAGCGGGATGGGCAGCTCAACCGATCACGGTCTGATTCACAAACCAAACGTCACGGTTCAGAAACTACGATTCAAAACTATCATTGATATGGTATAAATGTTTATAGACTAATCATGACTACTCAGACTAAACTACTCACGAGCCAGAAACTCAACCGATTCACAGGCCCGTTTTCAGAAAGGGATAGAAAGGGTATCGCTGGCATGATCATCCAATAAGTACATATTACTTGATCGAACTATGCCACCTATATCCAGCTATCATCACCACCTTCCAGATCCCTCAAGTGCCATTGGAAATCTTTGGCAGGCGATTGAGAGCTTGGATTTCCAGTGGGTAACACCAGCCCATCACCAGCCCCAATCTGCACGTTTTGTTTCCCGCAGCAAGATTTTTGTTGTGTGGCAATACGTGTCGCAGAATGAGGCATCAATTGATTTGCAAAACACACGTGGCAGAGTCAGGCTTCGTGAAACTGGATACCAGCAGCCTACTGGACAGCACGAACTGCATTCCTGTGAATCTGATGTTTGGAACTGGCCAAACTCCAAAAGCTCAGGAAGTTTCTCAGTTGTTTGATGAGTGGTTGCTAAAAAGTAGGGTTGGAGCAACAACCTAAAGAAACACGTCATCTTGAGACCACTTTAGACATCTCAGCTAAAACACCGTGACATCTCGGGCCCAGAAGAAACCGCGGATTCGTAGCTGCGCTGCGGGCCGGATTTGGCCGAAAGCCATGGATCTCTAGCGATCTAAAAGGATCAGGTGGCAGAGGGGTTGTTGTGGCTACCGCCTTGTTCCAGTGCTTGGGTAGACCCGGTTTGGGACCTTCAGCAGCAAAGACGTGGTTCGCGGTGGCATCTCCACGTCTCACCATCCCATGTCCACATGGTTTTTGTTGCTAATTCACCTTGCTTATCTTGATTCATAGCCTCATGACCTTTGATACCTAATCACTTTTTTGTTTATACAATCATGTTCATATGATACAACAATTTCATGTATGATCATATATGTATACATTATGTAGAAATACATCACCTTACATCCGCCTCTTGGTGTTTACCTCACCGGAAGATGGTGGAAGCCTTCGAGACCTTGGCCACAGCGCCCAAGCGCAAGGCCCGGCCCGGTTTGCGGCGAATCCGTGGAGGTTTTTGGATGTTTTTGATGTTTTTTGGGCTCCGAAACCATGGGAATCCCATCTGTGTTTTGATGGGAAACCAATTCTAGGACCATCTGGATTTAGCCAGCTAGAATAATGGGATATGATGAGATGTGATATGTTGGAGATGTACTTGGGATATAATGGGATAAGTAGCCAAAACTATGAAAATTGGCTTTGTCCATAAATGGATGTAAATAGGCGATACCCTTGGTTATTGATGTCGAAATGGAGAAAAATGCATATCCTATCTTCAGACAAAGCCATAGGTTACGTGTCCTTACCCATGAAAAACGGTGATTACACCAATCAACATTCCTTAACATCACAGGGGCCATCAACATGACTCATCCAGTCATGGTGCCATGGTGATTTCATCAGCCAGGAATGGGGAGAAACTGCCAACCCAAAATGGGGATGTAACAGATGTAACATGATGTAACTACATTAAGCAGATTAATCTATATTTCACCGGTAAGACTTGGTGGTGGTTTAATCCATGTTCTCCCCCCTGTGAAACTGTAGGAATGGGATGATGAAACCACCAACCAGTTGTATTCCTGCAGTTCACATTGCAACAATGTTGCCAGAATCGTCTTGCTTGGGATGTAGGTTCCCTTCTCCCAAGCACCTGCCAGTTTTTTTGTTTTTTACGGTGCTTTTGATAGTGGAAAGGTCTGTTGATGTCTATTGATTTTTTTTATGGAGACGAATCATCCAGTCGATGAGTATATCTGGTTGGTGGTTTGGAACATTTCTTATTTTCCATAATATATGAGCGGGATAATCCTTCACATTGACTAATCTTTTTCAAGATGGTTAAAACCACCAACCAGTGAATGATAGAAATGTTGTATTCATCCAGTGGATGATTCTCCTATGTCGAAACATGAGACATGGTGACTTGGAGGCGTGGGTTGGCGCTGCGGTAAGCTGTGCCTGGCAGGCAAAGTCGTTGAAACCCGATGAAGGTCTCCAAGTGTTGGGGAGCCAAGTCGGCGGTGATGAATGTTGGGAGGCTATCTTAAAAAAAAATGCTCCAAAGATATTCCAACGATATTCCATAGAATCAGAATTGAATTATTACCCGTAGGATCCATGGTGCTGGTATATATACTAACATGTGGGGTATATTGATGGTAAATGTCACCATATATAGCATACATGGATCCTATGGGTTACTAATTATAGCTGCTTCAAGGGGGTTTTATCGGGGTTTCCACAGATGTCGCTGTTGCATCATTTCCAGGCAGCATGTGCAACACCTGGTGGTTCCTCTGAAAATCTCTGCAGGGAAATCTTTCCACTTCCAATGGATGACCATGTTAGATTCCCTCTTAAAATAGCCATTCTCATGGGGTATGCAATTTTTTCCAGGTACCAAAGAGAAGCGAACTCTAATGGCAAGTACTACCAAGCCTACAGATTTACAATGATTTACATGAAAGACTGTGCGGGTTCCCATTTAGGTGGTCCTTCATGTGCTTTCCGGCTGATACCATGTGCTGCTTTCAGGACACTGCTTGGGGTTAGGGGGTGAAGAATTGGTGAACAGAAAATGAAATCTTTGCTGCCGACATTTCATATTCAGCAGGTTTTATCGACGTATGTAGATTTATAAGAGAATTTCCGCTGCATAAGAGCTATTTGTGTCTAGTTGTATCTATGGGTTGAGTATTTTGGTGTTTTGCCTTCAGACTTTGACCATTGTTCCTTTTGATGCAGAAAACGTCTGGCTCTTCTCATACGCATTTGCGAATGATACCAACTTTTCTCAGGGTGCCATTCGCAGCTGCGACCAGTGGCATTGTTTGTTTCTGTCTGATTTCGATCTCAAAATTGGTCCTTTTGGGAAGTGTGACAGCAAAAACATGCTTCTAAAAACCGTAGCCATTTTGGCATTCAGAAAAAGAACGTCATGTGGTTCAAACAATAATTAACCATCCCCTAAATCACCATAAATGGGTGGTATAAACCATCAAAAATATGGCTGGTTGATTATTGTTTTACCAACATCAGTTATCGAAGGAAGTTTGGAAGTCAAATTTCCGACAATATGGAGAGATGAAAAAGCAGTCAGCAGGGAGAAGAGTCAGAAGAGAAAAGATCAGAAGAAAGAAGATGCAGGTGCGCGAAAAGGTAGGAAAGTCACGAAACACTGTGTTTTTTCGTGGTTTTGTGGCTCCGGAGGGTTGAAAAGTAGGCTCGCTAAAGCGGCGGGTGCGGAGACATCTGGGGAGATGAGAGATGAAAAGTTGCACGCCGTTGTGGCGCGAAGCACATTTGGAAGTAAAATGTGTTAAAAACTGAGGGGTTCGGACCACTTTTGGAAGTTGAGATGTCGAAAAAGTGCACGCCGTTGTGGCGCGAAGCACATTTCCAAGTCAAAATGTACAAAACACCTCAGCTTCGGACCCCTTTTGGAAGTTGAGATGTCGAAAAAGTGCACGCCGTTGTGGCGCGAAGCACATTTCCAAGTCAAAATGTACAAAACACCAGGGTTCGGACCACTTTTGGAAGTTGAGATGTCGAAAAAGTGCACGCCGTTGTGGCGCGAAGCACATTTCCAAGTCAAAATGCACAAAACACACCATGGTCGGACCACTTTGGAAGTTGAGATGTCGAAAAAGTGCACGCCGTTGTGGCGCGAAGCACATTTCCAAGTCAAAATGTACAAAGCACTAGGGGTTCGGACCACTTTTGGAGGTTCAGATGTCGCTTCGCCGCTTCGCTTCACTACACTACACTACGTTACATTACACCACACTCCACTATACTACACTACATTACACTACACTACACTCCACAACACTACAACTACAACTACACAACTACACTCCACTACACTCCACTACACTAAATTACACTCCACTACACTACATTACACTACACTACACTTCACTACATTACACTACACTACACTCCACTACACTACACTACATTACACTACACTACACTACCCTCCACTACACTTCACTACATTACACTACACTACACTCCACTACAACTACAACTACAACTACAAACTACACTCCACTACACTAAATTACACTACACTACACTACACTACATTACACTACACTACATTCCACTACACTCCACTACACTACACTACATTACACTACACTACAATACACTGAATGACACTGCACCACAGATAGACAGGTAGACAGATAGACAGATAGACAGATAGACAGATAGACAGATAGACAGATAGATAGACAGACAGACAGATAGATAGATAGATAGATAGGTAGACAGCTAGACAGATAGACAGATGAAAGAGAGAGAGAGAGAGATAGATAGATAGTTAGTTAGATAGTTAGATAATAGGTAGATAGGTAGATAGGTAGATAGGTAGATAGGTAGATAGGTAACTAGATGAAAGAGAGAAAGAGAGAGATAGATAGCCAGAGAGAGAGATAGATACACAGAAGATAGATAGATAGGTAGGTAGATAGTCAGAGAAAGAGAGAGGCAGAGAGGAGACCTCAAGCACCTTTCGGTCCATCAGTGGATTCGCTTTGCCATCCCTGATTCACAACAACCAACCTCTCCTATAGGTTTCCTATTTTTGAAACTTCCGCCACCGCCTTGTGCGGTACTACTGGTATATGTTGTATATGTTTGTTCCCCACGACAAACCCAGGAGGAGGAGTTGAGAGCTGATGAACTCAGAGCAGCAGGGCTGTTGAGCACAGGGGAAGATGTGTCGCCCGAGGAGCAGCCGGGCTCCTCCCACTGGCAGATGTCCAGCGATGAAAACATGGGAAACATGGGATGCTAGTCAAACAATATGGGATGTTCAACATGGGAAACATGGGAATTCATCATCAAACAGAGAGATTTTTCCATGACCCAGAATCTGTAAGGCAGGATTGAGGCTTTGGACCCTTGAATGATTCAGAGATACTCAAATTCCAGCCAGTTCTCGACGATCGATCCTGGTGAGGATGCCTCCTTGGAAACGAGAAGGATCTTCCATGATGGAGTAAATGTGGAGGAGCTGCATGGGGGACTTGGTTGCTCTATGGTTTACCCATGTAGCTAGCCATTGGGGAAAATGGGGTACCCTGCCCTATTTTTCGACCAACTCCAGTGGTTGGACTATATTGGAATGGGGCATAATGGGGTACCCTATTTTTAGACAAACCCCTATCCAAATATGGTTATGGGTCAGACTTGAAGGCCCAGGGGACCGCAGGTTTTGATTATTTGCTTAACACTTATGTGAAAAAAACACGAAAAATATCAAATCGGTTGGTGTACCCAATTCCGACCCATAGACATATGATGCATAAAACCAACTTTATCCGGGACCTAATGGGGATACTATGGGGATATATATATATATATGTATAATATATAATATAATATAATACAATATAGTATAATATAAAATAATTTAATATAATGTAATATAATATAATACAATATAACATAATAAAATATAACATAATAAAATATAATATAACATAATATAATATAATACAATATTATATATAATTTATAATATATAATATATAATTATTATATATAATATAATATTTAATATTATATATAATATATAATATAATATACCTTAATATTTCATATAATATCATATAAAATATAATTTAATATATAATTTAATACAATATAATATAATATAGTATAATTTAATATAATATCATATAATATATAATATATTACAATATAATATAATATAGTATAATATAATATAATACAATAGAATATATAATTTATAATATATAATATATAATTATTATATTTAATATAATATATAATATTATATATAAAATATATTATAATATACTTTAATATATAATATAATATCATATATAATATAATATAATATATAATATAATATAATACAATATAATATAGTATAATATAATTTAATATAATATAATATAATAAAAGATAAGATAATATAATATAATATATATATATATACACTACTAATATTTGTTTGGGATTTGCCCGAGAATTGGTTTGTCTGAACATGTTTCTTGGGGGAAAGTGACCAAATTTGATGGTGATAGTCATTGTAGTTCCGACAAAAGCATTATTATTTGGTGGGTGTAGCCCATTTTCAGACAAAGCCTTGTTGGTTTTTTGTTCAATCCCCAAGACCTCATGGATTTTTGCTATGCATGGGTCGAAATTTCCCGCGACTGCAGAACCGCAGCCTTTCTGCTGAAACGAAACAGTTTGCTGTGACTCCTACCTGGTGACCTTTCAGTGTTTCCTTGCGGCCGGTGACATGGGCTGTTCAACCTCGATCCTTGGCGAATGGGAGGGCCATTTCAGTTCTGGCTATAGGACAATATATAATTATATATATATATAGGTCAGCTCTATGTCTATGACTTCCAAAATATTCCAAAATGGATGGTGCAAACAGTGCCGACGGTGTGTGGGTCCACTCCAAGTTTGACCCAAACCCATGTGATCCCAAAGAGGGTACTTTTGATGAAGAGTTGGTGATGCGAATATTAGATAATATTAAATATATCACTCGAATATCTGTCAATTTACTTTTCCTGACAGGGTATTTGAGCTTAGACCTGGTGGTTTTGCCCAGACTCCAACTAGTTGAGGATAGTTTGTTGTCGCAACATGATGATTTTTCAAATTGCCTAAAACACTGCGTACACCATGTTTTGGGGTTTATGGATTTCGGGTTTATGGCTTTTGGCTCCAGGTCCGTGAGGCTAATCCCAGCCCAAAATTATTCAGTGGCTATGCGAAAAAGTCATCTCAATTCGCCTACGTGCTTGGGGAGCTGGGGTTCTTTTTATGGATACATCCCATATATCCCCAGTTGGGATCTAGCTTCCGTAACAAGTGAGCCATCATATTTGTGGAATCTTGAAGGAACCATAGGGATCCCCAAGGCTGGGCCCTTCCCATTCATTTTCCCAATGGGCTACTTCTGGAGAGCTCCAATCATCAGGGCGTCCCCGGCGTCATGTGCCTCCCGTTGACATCGGACAACGTTGGACATCGCTGTAAAACTTCGTAGACACCCCCAGTTCATCCAGGACAAGTGCAGTTCCCCATGTCAATGTGGAGAAGACAAGCAGCCTAAACAGCGTCAACAGCCGCGGGATGGATCCATTTGAGCCTTGGCGAAAGAAACAACCATGTTTTGTCCATTGAGACAGTCGAAACAGGTGGTGGCACATGGGAAGGGATCAAGTCAACCAATGTTTTTTCATGAGATGAACATTGAAAAAGCATTATAAGATATTAAGCACAGAGCTAATTTGGTGTTCACAAAAGGGTATCAGAGTTTTGACCCAGACCCGAAATAGTCCAGTTTGGATTCGTACATCGCATAGCCTCTGGTAAACTAACATAACTATGGAAAATCACCATTTTTAATTGGTAAATCCACTATAAATGGCGATTTTCAATAGCAAACTGTTAGTTTACCAGAGGGTAGCACAAATGCTATGAATTCTGCGAGGAGTCTGACATCTAAACTGAACTCCTCCGAGATGATCCAAGGTTTGTCCCCGATCAACACTGGTGATTTTCCGGAAAAAACTTCAACTTCTTCAACGGCTAGCCCTTGGAATGCAGTGGCTGTATGTGGCTAAAAGTTGCGAAGAACCAACGATCTTTGAGTTTTACGGAGATCCATTGCACTTGCACATGTCCAAAGCTTCAGGGAGATTGCCTTCCGATATAAAGAGCATCACGTTTGACGGTATGAATTCAATAATCACACAATTCACAGGTAGATGAATATCCCTATTTGTGAGGGTATGATTGGATGATTGTGAACATCACCTTTGACTACCTTTTCAAGATGAGACTGTATATCCAATAAATCCTAATACTTGGGTAATGTTTAATTAGGACATTTACCAAGCCTTGTTTATGACATTTGTCAATAGTTCCAAGGTTAAGGATGCTTAAGGTATGCATTTCTGCGTGAAATCCTTAGATTTGTTGGTCAAATCCTTATTTGTTTTCGGGTTTGTATGGTGAACAAATTCACTTTGGTTTAAGGGTTATGTCCCCATGTTGTAGATTACATCTTACTTTGTGAAATTCCATATGTGCTGGCCATACCAGCATATGTGTTGGTTCAATCCTAATTTTCTTGATTGGATCACATTTTTTCTCGCTTAAATCATGTTAAAGCACAGTTATTCTATGTTATTCTACGTTTTTTCTTAGTCAGATCCTCATTGTTGTAGGTCAAATCCTCATTGCTTCATATTTTTTGTCGGTTTTGCTCAGGACAAGATTCTTCAGAAGTCTTCACACTTTGGTCGTGACGTCAGCTATCAGTCCACCGTCTCGGGTAATACGATACTTGGGCTCCAACGGCGACCCAAACGGCGACCCAAACGGGAACCCAATTGGTACCCTAAGTTATAAGTGGTTAATGGATGTGTGTTCCCCCAGTCATATGGTAATTTCATAGGTTTTGTTTGACCCATCGCCACACAGGAACTTCTATGAATTTCTCAGCAAAAATAGGGATACCACCTGGTAAACATGGCGTGCTGGAAAACATGAATTTAAGTAGGGGGTTTCATTGATTTTAAATTGCGACTTTTGATTACCTGGTATAACGAGGAGAAGTGGGGATAGTTTATGTCAAAAGACTAGGAATTATGTTCAGACAAATTCATACAAATTCCATATATGTATATATATATATAGTAAATTATCACCACTACGTATAAAGAATAGTTATTTGAGGGGGATAGTCTGTGGAGGTATAATATGTCACGGGTAAAAATCGGGATATGTGTAACCGACCATGTGATAACATTATAGTTTGTACAGGAACTGGCACTCTAGCCCAATTTATGGCTACTCCGACTTCGTTTGGGCGAAATATGCTTCGATGATGATGATGATGATGATGATGATGCTGATGATGATGGTGGTGGTGATGATGATGGTGATGATGATGCTGGTGATGATGATGATGATGGTGATGCTGGTGATGCTGGTGATGCTGATGGTGATGGTCATGATGATGGTGATGATGGTGATGATGATGATGATCATCATCATGATGGTGATGATGATGACGATGATGATGATGATGATGATGATGCTGATGGTGGTGGTGATGGTGATGATGTTGATGATGGTTTTGATGATGATGATGATGATGATGGTGATGATGCTGATGGTGATGGTGATGATGTTGATGCTGATGGTGATGGTCATGATGATGGTGGTGGTCATGATGATGCTGATGATGATGGTGGTGGTGATGATGATCATGATGGTGATGATGATGATGATATGATGATGATGGTGGTGATGATGATGATGCTGATGCTGATGCTGATGATAATGATGATGATGATGATGATGATGATGAGGTGGTGGTGGTGGTGGTGGTGGCGGTGGTGGTGGTGGGGGCGTGGTGGTGGTGGTCGCGGTGGTGGTGGCGGTGGGTGGTGCGGTGGCGGTGGTGGCGGTGGTGGGTGGTGGCGGTGGTGGCGGTGGTGGTGGTGGATCATTGGATAACCTGTGCGTTTCACCCGTGTGTGCTGCAAATGGATGAATACTTTATGTAATGAATCTACACTGTAAATAGTTTTTCCCCACCTGGCAGGTGAGGGCCTTTAGGTTTTAACAAAGGTGTAGCTCATCCCTCTTCCTCCTTCCTCTTCTCCTCGCCTCCTCTCTTCTCGTCTACTTCTGTGCCAGCGCGTCGCCAAACTTCATATCGCGAGATCCGGACGCTGTGGGCTGGGCCTGGACCCGTCGCCGAACAGAGAGAAGCCAGAAAGAGTGCCAGAATAGATGCCAGATAGAATGTCAGCATATATATATATATTATATATATGCCACAAATACTTCCAGATGGTATGTCAGAAACTGTGTCCGAATAATGTGTCAGGGTGGGGAACACTGAAATGTAACTTGCTGACTAGGCCCTTTTGGCATTTTGCTTGGGCGCATGGGGAACTGTTTTACAGCAAGCTGAGAAGGAAGTCTTTTTGCACCAAGGTTTCTGGGGAGCTCTTCATTGTTGAGAAGGGATTAGTTGTTCAGTCCCCGAATTGGCTTAGAGGAAATTCACTGGAAATCACATTAATTTATGATAAAAACATATAAAAACCATGGTTGTTTGCAAAGGAAATCCTTAAGCAGACCCAGTGAACGAGCGGATGTCCAAGCAACAATGAGAATAGTGGATATCCAAGCAACAAAGTGGGGATGATATATAGCAGATACGACAACAATAAAAATTGAAGATTATTGGCTGGTGGTTTCAAAAAGAATGAATTGGGGCAGAGATGTGGATATATGTTGGCGGCAATGTGGGGAATGATACTTTAGAGATGGTTTGCCACAAATTTGAAATGTGATACTAGATGAATGAATTTGATCTGGAATAAACTAGGTATACGATATTCTCAACCTTAGGATTCTTTTGGCTGGTTTGGTGTATCAATATCAGTAGCGAAAGACTCCGACTGGAAGATCCAAGATCCTCAAAGATACAGGACCGTAGTCCTACGGTGCAACTGCGTGAAATGCAGGCGCCAACTCAAGCTGTTCATAAAATATCCCATCCCAGCCCCTGTGCCATGAAATGCCATGAACACTTGGCCAAAATACAAATTCCATCCCACATCCCAAAACATATCTTCAACGCTAACCACAGTGGTCAGGTCATTTGGGTACCGCTCAAACTTTTTGGCCCCACCAATGGATGGTTGAAGGGTTTGGGTCAGGTATGGCATTGTTACCATAAACGGGCTATATGAATCATATGAAACTGTTTTTTTGTTTGGTAACTTTTGGCTACTGATAAATGTTCAAAAGGAATATATCATTTGTGTGGGTGAATTAAAAACGCCAAGACTTCAATTGATCAATCTCAGATGATTTATGCACCCAGGAAACCAATGATAGATATTCATATGTGTATCATGTTCTATCTATATTTCTACCCACATCCAAAAAAATAAAATCTCTGAATAACAAATCCATATAAGCACATTGTTTACCAATGTTTACCATACATAGCTATATCTACACCTATATCTACACCTACTATCTTTGGCCGGTGAATATAATAGTTTTACCTGTACATACCTTTATATCCGTTCATACCAATTATGGTTCGTTTTTTCACTGGTGAATTCGTCTACTGTCCATATCTAATACCCACATCCAAAAATCGAAGATCAACAAAATCCATTTAAAAAAAGATCCATATAAACATCTATATTTTTCTTTAAATATTTCTACACCTATCTACTCAAGATAACCCATTTGTTCACTGATTTTTCTGAGGATCATTGACGAGCAGGACCTGAACCTGATGGAATGCAGTTGGTCCTCTTGGGCCGAGGATGACCCATCGCCCGCCTCACCGCCCACGCGCCGGACCCATGAAGTCTACAATCAGGCTTGGCTATTGGGATCATTCCAGTGTAAAATAGAATATTTACATGTATCATAGACAGTATATTGAATATGTAGTGTGCAATAGATGGTGTATATATATAATATTTAACATGTGATATATTTGGGATTTATTGAATTACATGATAGATAGTATCCTGTAAGATGATATGATCTACATATTGTGATATGATTTAGCACATTCTGTAAGATATATGTTCATATAATAACACATTAAAGGAAATAATATTATATCAATATTTTAAGATAATGTGTTATCAATAGTATAAGTATAATCTAAAGTACTAAAAAATATATGTATATTATTTAATTTAATGTAATACTGTTTAATATATTACTATAGTAATTTGTAAATAATATTATTTACTTAAAATATCTTAAAATTATATTATCAACTAATTTAATACAATACAATATAGTATAATGTAATTTATTACAATATAATTCATTATAGTATAATATAAAATAATATAGTTTAATTTGATACATTTAAAATTAAATAGCATATGTTAATATAGTATAAAATATGCTGTAATTGATGTTGTAATATGTGTTTTTTATGATAGTATGGTTTTTAATATATAGTATAATATATATATGTATGTATTATAATATAGTATGATATATGATTAAATCATTATGATATTATCATATACCATAATGTAACATGACATAATGAAATATAATGTAGTATTACAATATATTTTAATACGAATATAACATAATACAATATACTATAACAGAATATAAGGTATATTGTTTATTTATTTATTTGTGTTTTGTTTTATTTATGCATTTATTTATATACTTATTGACGAATACATTAATCTATTCATCAGATCACAATTGGTTGTTCAGCATTGAAGGTTGGGGAAGACGGGTGCTGCCTTGTCTGTGGGGCAATTGTTTTGGCCCCGGCATGTTTAAATCAATGAGTCAACGAATAAAGACCCATGGCAACAGAGAATTTTCATGGTTTTTCAGGACACAGGGTACCTAATCTTGACCTACTGTAAACCCATATACGACATTTTGGTAGGCAGAACCAGCCCAAAAGTGATTGCTAGTAGGCGGGACCATCCCAAATCGAACAAATATGTCTGGAAAATTATCACAATTTGCCCGGACTGGTTAAATTTAATAGTGATGATTACAAGCCACATCCATGAACGACCCATGACCAATCCATGGTTGAGTTTTTTTTGCCGATTTTCTCAATGGGTTCGTTGCCATTTCAGGGCATGTGTGTATCGCCCATTCTTAATGTTTGATGGTTAAATCCAGCTTGCCACATTCCTGAGGTGTCCACATTTTGGCGAAGCAAATCCAACGATTTGATAAAGCTGCCTCAGGCTTTGGACAGGTTCCTGAAGAAAGTCGATGAGAAGCCAAAGAGGCTTGTTTCCGTTCTCAGTGCGGCCGGAGGACCACAAGGAGAGAAGAGCCTGTTTTCATCTTTTCTCCATAAAACACCCGGGTAAGGCATGCTGAACACAAGCAAGGGGGTTGTGTACATTATTGTATAATTATATAGCATATGTTCATTGCATACAATTATGTACATACAGGTTTGTACTGCTTGCTGCACATATATACAGCTATTTACAGGTATATGCACATGTGCATTGTCACGCTAGACATGTCTTTTAGGATATTTGAGTTTAACCACGAAAATCTAACTCATGATTCATTGAGGAAGGTGCTTGGCGGGTTTCGAATCCCGGGGGAACTGCCATGACCAGCCAGATTCAATGGTAGGTAAGTTTTACAGTACATGTTTTCACTGTTTCATATGATCCCCTTTGCTGGGGAAGGACGATGCCCACTGTAGAGGCCTCCAAATAGATAGAAATGATAGAATGGTGCTTCCCGCATGCTAATATAGATGATGTTTTTTTGGTGATGGCGCCTCTCGCGGTGCGGGACTGTTGTCACATTTGCAATGGGGGGTGGGGGGGTGGGCGGGTGTAATAACTGTCCAGTCTGCATGCACACACACACACACAGGATGCATGGATGCTACGTTATAAGATCTTCTCTTCATAAAATTGTCGCTTTCAGACAGACGAAAACGCCGCAGGTCCACAGGCGCCGCAACTATGTTTTTCCCATAGTGTTCAACTTCTCTATCTTTGGGGGGTTGCTAAAGGCAAGTTGAGCAACATCTTTGGGACTGTTTGAAACCACCAGACTTGAAATGATTTTGAGCCGGTCGTGATGCAAGGCACGTGGCCCAGCAGTCTTTCCATGTCAAAGACTGCACATCCACTTGTATATATTCCCGGGTGTCTAAGGGTAAAGCTTGTAAACAGGAACTCCCACATTTGATGGGTACGTTCATGATCTTAAATTAGATATGCATTCCCTAAAACCAACACGTTGATAGAACCTGACTTTAACCCTCCAGTGGAAGAGATTATATTTGTGACAGAGATGTGGTGGAGATGTATTTGATCATCATTGTTGGTTGCTGGTTTCATTTCGAAACGTTCCAGCACCTGCCAAGAATATCAATGGTGCTGGCGTATTTTTATGCTGAAACTCACCCATTCATGCTGGGGCTCCCCAAAAAGATAAAGCACATGACCATGAAAACAGGCGTGAACCCCAAAAAGGTGCAGAAAAGGTTCAATTTTGCACGATTTTAGAACTTGATGTTGCCAATTGTTTCATCTTTGTACGACATCTGTAGCCATAGCATTTTTTCGGAGTTGTTCGGAGCCCCGAGTCGCCGGATCTCCCAATCTCGACAGGTTCGAGCAGATGGTTGGGATCTACCGCAAACGTGCAGGCTTTGAGGAAGACGAAACCTGGTGAAAAAAGGGAGATCTTCGATCAACGGGTTTCATATATGTTCATATCATATCCACTTTGTTTTGGCATATCTCACTAGTGCAGGGCATGTGTTTTCTTTTCATTACATATGCCAATTGATGCTAGGTGGTATTACGATTATTATGTTGATTTGCATGCATTTGCATCTATTTGCGGTTATGCATTCCAGTGTTTGGTCAAATGAACCGATAGCAACAGCAACATATAGCAACATATTGCCATAGCATCACTCCGTTGGGGCCTGAACAATGGATATCTATGGCATTGAAACAACCTGCGTTTGCTGCAGTTCGTTTGTTTCGAAAAAATGCTCACGTTCCAGGAAGTGAAACGCTTGGTGTTTCCATTTTTTTGTTTTTGTTCGCTCCAGTTGGCTGGGCATTGTATTGAAATTTGACTTCCAATAAGGCTGTTGACGCTGGATTGCTGATGTGAAAAGTTGTGGCTAGATGTTGGTTTGAATTGATTTTTTGGTGTTTGAATGCGCTCATGAAACTTGATGTTTGATGACTTTGGCGACCATCCGAGACAATTGTATTGCTCGAATGGCTCCACGGTACAGGATGGTAAGAACTAAGTATATAGTACTTACATATAGTCTTTGAAGACCAAGATTTGTGGGAAAGCACCTGTCATCTCATGTTATCTCATGTTATCTCATGTTATTTATATGGGGAGTTCTGAAAATGGGGGATCCCCAAGTCACGATGGGTTTCAATACCAAAATACCGTGTAATTCGTATGATTTGTGGGTACCCCCATTTTAATATACGTAATAATAATATATATATAATAATATATGTATAATAAATGTTAATAAATTATAATAATAATAATATATACATATATATATATACTCAATCTTCCGTAACTGGTGGGCCATGTGCCGGTGTTTGCACTATGCGCCACGCCCAGGTGATGCAAATTATTTCCGTATGACCGAAAAAGGCCGTTCTCACGGCTTCGGTCTACGGCTGGATTGACTGAATCCACAAATATGTCAATATGTCATGTGCTGAGCCAAGAACAACTTCACTTTATATCATGTAGGGATGATAACGAGTCTCAGCATGATGATCTCAATAGCTCCTGCTCAGACGGATCATGCTGGATATATATATATATATAACTGTCGTTGATTTGTTGTTTGTTGTCGTTTCCTCAGAAAAAATGATTTTACTTTTTGGCTCTGAACCGGTGGGATTTTGATCGCCAATTACCGGCTTATAGTAGTCTTCCGCGGAAGAGATGTCCTTGAATTACGGCTGTGAGCGCCTCGTTTTGAGTGCTCGTTGTGTCTACGAGGCTGGGCTCTTCCCGAAAGGTCTTTCTCGAAAGTCCTTTCTCAACCTTTCAACACGGCTGTGAGGGGATGCTGATTGCAGCAACACACGTAATATTCTTTTATCGATGGAGAGAATGAATCTCCATTAAGTACAGCCGCCGCTTTTCTCCGGGAACGAACAAACAGCTGTGGTTGGTGAACCGGTAGAGAATTGGGATCTTTTCTTGACCCATTGACAGGTGCTTGAAGGCCAAATCATGATTTGCAACCAGCAGCAACTCACAAAGAACCAAAAAAGTGTTGTATTCTAGTAGTTCTAGGACAGTTTAAACTCAATTGATTTAAGCTGACTCTAGAATCAGAAGGGAGGTTGTCGGGATGAATCCAATGTTCCATTTCTATCATAATATGTAGAAAACAAACGCACACAGGACTCCTTGGAAAACAACTGTTCCAACAGCAGCAACATCATCTAGGGCTCCTTCCAAAGAGCGGCTGCCATTGTACATTTTCAAATATACTAGTACACGTTCATCATCATCATCATCATCATCATCATCATCATCATCATCATGACCGTCATCATCATGACCGTCATCATCATGATTATTATCATCATCGCTGTTCATCTTCATTACCGTCATTGTCATCATCTCCAACTACAGCATCTACACAGCTACAAATGTAGATTTGCATGTGTGTACTCGCAGGTGAAAAGATATGCGCATCCACAACTGTAAATTTGCAGGTGCACAGATCTAGTTGAAAACATCTACACATGGATATGTGCAGGCTGTGCAGGTGTAAAAATGCAGGTGCATAGATGTAGGTGAAAGCATCTACATATCTACAACTATAATTTACCTGTGTCTACACGAAGGTGACCAGATACAACAGCATATATGCATAGATGTAGATTCGATGTAGGTGAAAGCACCTCCACATCTACAACTCTGTATATGCAGGTGTATAGATGCAGGTGTACAGCTGCAGGTGTAAAGGTGCAGGTGCATAGATCTTCTAGAATACACCTACACATCTCGAGTCCTTTTAATTTGCTTCTCTTAGGCGGCAGCGCAATGCAGATCGATGCAGACGAAACGCACCCTTCTCGCACAAAACATGCGTCGATCGTCAAACACTGGGGTAAATTGCCATGCTCCGACGCGAAACTCGCGTCGATCTCAAAAGCCAACAGAAGATTGCAATTTGGTTTGTCGTTGGTGGAGCCTTCCCGCACGAAACGCGTGATGATCGTCAAAAAGTAAGGTAAAGTGCCTGCCGACAGCAAGGTTTCCAAAATCATTTGACGCTGGAACCATGGCATCATTATCAGAAAAGGCACCATGATGACAGTCTCTAAGCCGGGCATGGTGATCCCTTTGACATGTCAAACCATGTCGGCATTCATGACGACTTGTTGACGTGTTTGTTGATGTTACGTTCTTTTACCATAAACAATGCCATATGACAGAAACTCTTGTTTGCAATGTGATGTAACGATGTTACTTCTACATATTAACTATAGAAGTTGCTCCGGAATGTTGCCTAGATGTACGTAGTAATGATTAGTGGTGTTTCTTAGAGAAGTCACGTGTTGCTTTGTTATTTCCTTTGACCCTCAAAACCTTGCTCACATTTCACTCCAAGTAACATTTCAAACAACATGTGTCACATAACATTGCTAGCCATTTCTATAACATGTCGAAGTGACATCCAAGCACTGAAGTCATGATCAAACATCATCATCATCATCATCATCGTCATCATCATCATCAACAACAACAACGACATCATCAACATCAGAAACATCACCTGATCATTTACCATGTTCAATTTTTACGATACTGCACTTTTTGGAAGGAAATTCTTGCGTGTTGGGTCTCTTTTTGGACAACAAATTGATGTTTATCTCCTGTTTCCTTTCGGGCCACACGGTCGTCTAATTGATTTATTGAGATTCCATTTATCATTGTATGTTTTGTGGGTTTGCAGCCCAGTTCAGATAATTCTTGTTTAAATTGTTTCGTGATTTTTCAGGAGTGTAAGGGTGTAGCATGAATCTAAGTTCCAACCTTGCATGGCCTCAGTTTATGTTGCCTCCATGGGCCTTTTTTTGGTTTGCATTGATTCAAGTGACCCGGACGTACGGCGGTACAGCGGCAGGTCCACCTTCAGAGAAAGGTGGACAGATCTTTGCGATTTCGGGCTTGCAACACATTCCCCGAACGTTTTGCATTCCGTCAACGCAGACATCTCGAGTGTGCGATATTTTTTGGTTTGTGTTCTTTGATTTTCTTTATCCGGGGTGGCATGTGTTTATGCCCTTGTGTCGCGAACGTACAGGCCGATTCTTTATCATTTCCCTTCAGTCTACGACCTTGCCATTGGTGTGGATGAATCACTTCCTGAGATTTGCAAACAGATCCAGTCGTAAGTTGCGACCCTGCCACCTCACAATGACGACCTATCGGAACCTGCGGATGCTGGAAAGTGGACAAACTGGAAACTCAACTGTAAAGAAAATGAGGAGCATTGCAAAAGGCATCCTTTTTTCATCACTTATTTGTCTCTCCCCTCCCAAAAAGACAGAATGATAGGGGCACACATTGGCGGACTGGCGATAGAAATATGCTGGAAATTGCTTAAAACATGTCAACGACTCATGCTATTGGCTTTGTACATCTTCCAAAAACGGTGAAGGTCTAAATTGAGTTTCTTACAGGAACTGATTGGTAACTGATTCAATGAGCTTAAGTATTTCCCATGAATGTGGAGGTAAATGATTGGATTTCATTTTTTCCCATTTTCCACTAAATTATTTGGAATAATGCTCTCCAATCGATTGACATGCTCGAATGGGGTTAGAAACGGCAGACAAAGTTTAAGATCGTTTTGCGTAGTCTTCGCAGTTGCTGTTCCCTGGATAGGATTTTTCTGATTTGGTTCATCATGTTTCCTGCAGGGGTATATAATTCAAATCAAACACACGTTCCAGTCTTGAAACCCGGAAATCAAGTTTCATGAGTGACGCACCGCTGAGTGCAATGAGTTAAGCCCCGCGGCCCTGCGGAGCATAACTTGCCCATCACATGCCCTTGCCAAATATAGTCGCAGTGAGATCAGGTCCATTTTCCTAGAAAGTGTTACGACATCTTACGACTGTGTCCAGTTGCTTCATATCATGGCCATCCAGTAATATCCAGTAATCTTCACCTCTGGCTAGGAATTATCTGCGAGGAGAACCGTTGGAAAGTTGAGCACGTCGTTTCAGTGCAGACTTCCATGGTCCTTCTAAGATCTTTCAATCGGCTGCCGGATGGCCTTGGCGCTTCTGGTTGACTCGGATGACTTGGGGCGGATCCATGGGACCTCAGAGTGATAATCATATGGTGTCAACATGTTGCGACGATTCGTGGCTACGCTAAGCCGCTAGGTATTTGGAATCATATATATATATATATATCATATATATATATATATCATATATCATATATCTATATATATAATATATCTATAATATATATATATAATTATAGATTCTATTGTGGATAGCTGTGGAGAACTCCAAGATCCACCAAGTGGCGTAGCTCTTGGCCAACTGAGACGTCTCACGCGGCGCCTTTCCGGAGGTGGCGCCTTTCGGTTGACCTTGAGAGAAAGGTCATCTCGATGGGTCACGTGCGCCAATAAAAAAAGAGGGCCCCTGGGGATCTCCGGGAAAGCTGGCCAAGCTGTGTATCTACCCTCTGGTAAACTAAATCATCAATAAATATCAAGAACTAAATCACCAACTACCCTCTGGTAAACTAACATAACTATGGAAAATCACCATTTTTGATGGGAAAACTCACTATAAATGGCCATGTTCAATAGCTATGTTAGTTTAGCAGAGGGTACATGTGGCGCCCAGAGTGCTATCGCGCTCCAAATCAGTCGATGAATAATCAAGGGCAAGTGACATGTTGGTCATTTGACGAATACTCGTCACTATGAAGATTTATGAAGAACGTCCCTACAGCCTTTGGGCAATTACCAGACCTCTACAAGTGAATAGCTGGGGCTCTGAATCAGAGGTTTGCCTCAGCCAAAGCCTTGTTGATGGTTGATTGGTGTTCTTGTTGAATTAGTCCCATTCCCCTTCATGTCACTTCTATCTTTCGTTGAATAACCCCCAGTAGGAACCCCAAAATGATAGATTTAATACAAGGGTTTTTGGGTGTTTTTGGGACTGTATCTAGTTATGGGAAGGGATTACATAGTTATATGGTGTTTGAACATATTTGCTATGTGGGTTCAGAATTTCACTTTGATGTTCAGTATGAACCCTCCAAAAAATTGCACTAGGCAATTAGTTACAGTTACATGATGATAGATCTGGGTAAATTATAACGACCTCACTGTTCTCCCTCACTGGAAATCGTGGTTTATAAGGTAAATCATCCCCAAATGGCCTTAATTCAGGTTAGTGAAATATTATAATTTACCCAGATAGATCTAGTTCCGTCTCATCAAATCAGCTCTGTAGCCTGCAGGAAGGGGATGCTGAGACCGGCCGAGAGCCTAGTCTACAGATTTCGCTGCCAGCTATCGATGTGGAAAACCCATGAATTTCATGGACTTTCCAAGGAAAATGATCCAAAAATTGGGTCAAATTGAGTGGTTTTCCATATCTATGTTGAAGGACTCATTGAAGGACCCAACATTTTTCTCAGGGCTTGTAATTTTCTCTGCCTGTTGATATTTCCCAACTGTCAGGTGTTAGGTGAG